CTTTCCCTCTCCGCCTCATGTGGCCTACTAGCTCCACTGCCTCCCTTGCTCCAACTCTGGTGCTCTTCTGACACTTCAGTGATGCATTCATCTCACCAAGCCAGCAGAAAACTGTATTTTGCTGGGTGAGTTCTCTGCTGACTCACTGAGTAGAACTAGATCATCAGGGGGTCATATTAGTACCAATATTAGGACCAATGCAAAGGAGGGAATAAGGAGATAATAAGCAGCAGTTTAATCTCCCTTCCCTACATGTACATCTCAAATTCTCCTTCTGCTCCCTTCCCACTTCTACATGGGTTGCAACGTGTCTATTAACCAGGGAAAATAATTTTTGTAAGTGTAAGAACCAAGTTCATATTCTATGGAGAGATAAATGACTGAACCTACTCATGGCAGAGTTCAAACCATTCCATTTTTGTCCTCCCTGTCTGGCAGAGGTTCAGAAGATGAAGGTCAGTGAAATACATGCTCTGGCACCACTTAAACTGTGCTAACATCAGCACTTTATTGGTATTTTTCCATATATTTCCCCACTTCTGAGGGATGTTGCTTACAAATTTGTAGTGCATCAGGATTTCTAGTAAGTCAGCTAGGGTGAGCTTACTTGCTGGTCCAATCTGCAGCTGATTTGACACCTCTGTTCACTGAAATACTTTGCAATCACCAACCTCCAAAAAAGTTCCCTTCAAAGCGAGTGCACCGCTCCTGTGACCCTGGAAATTCCAAGAAAGTTTTGTCCAATGGATTACCCAGGTCCTTCCAAAAGGCAAGAAATCTAGATGTTACAGGGTGGCTTTACTTTGCTTCACTCTGTCACAAGCTTTTTTATGTTCCTTTATGTTAATGACATTGCTTTTAAAAGATAAAAAAGGTGTAACCTGGCTGTGAATAAACATACCATGACTTGTTAGGCAAAACCACATAGATAGTCCAGATTTGTGTGCTATACATATAGATATCTAATAGTGTAGACATATAGGAGATCTGCTACACTTCACAGATGAGAGGTGTGTTAATAGAGTAGCATAAAATGATGACACTATTACTATGTATGCAATTAGTAACTATGGATCTTAGCTACTCCATCCTGCACATCACGACTTAGTAGTTTAGCCCACCTGTTAGAAGCATGTATGGTATCTTGAGAGAGGATGTGGTCTCTAGTAGCTCTAGTTAGAGATCTAACCATTTTGCTGCAAAGCCATAAGGCTTGTAGCATACATGTGGCACCCACAGCAGACTGCGTAGAAAACTGGAGCAGAAAGTGGAAGAAGGAAAGGGAACATTTCCTCTGTTCTGCCTAAATATATTTGATCTAAAACCACTTAATGAAACCTCTCCAATTCAAGAAATCAGCCTTTTGCAACTAAGAACTTGTTTTGCTAGAAAATTGCCCACCAAATCTTACAATGCTGTGTTTGTTTCTAGGCAATTGAAGTTAAAAATCTTAAACTACTTTGTATTGGATTAGTTTAGAGTTAGCTCTTTGCTAATTTATGACTGTCTAAAGAAATTCTAGGTGAAGCTGTCTGAATCAGTGAGACTCATCTTTCTGTTGCAGAGGTGTTAGAAGCAACTGGTATGAAATACTAGGAACAAAATTGTAATATTCTACAGCAACATGTGAGAGATTCCTGGTGTCAGATGGTAACTAGATTCTTGTCACTGAGCCCATCCTCACCTTCCTTGGATGGACATGGTTTGGATTCATCAGAACAGATGTGCTCTTCAAGATCAGGGAAAGGAGCTGTCAAAGCTCAAGGATCATCTCATCTCCTAATACAGAAACTCCAAAGGGAGCCTGCTCAATTCTCTTTCATGGAGTTGAGAAAATGTTTCCATCCCATAAATAGATTTTCTGTTAGTTCATTACAGATACACAGCTAAACTCATTCCAGAGCTATGCTAGCAGAAGTTAGTCCAGAATTCATATAGCTAGGTTAGTACAGGTATCCCAGTCATTGCAAGGAAGCTACTTGCACCCTCCTCTGTGCTGAGGGCTTGTTATCTGTCAGGAACTGAAGTTTCCAAGGGGAGCTGAAAGGGTGAGGATTAAGCAGAAAGCCTGGCTGAGCCTTGACCTCAGGAGAATTTAAGATTACTCCTTTCCACCAAATTTTGACTTTGCCATTTTTTTTTCATTTGTAGTGGAAGAGTAAATGATATTCATGTGTCTAAAGCCAGTGTTGGTTTTGAACCACAAACTTTAGGCTTGAATCGGATTCAGCATAAAACTTACAATGAATTTATTAAATCCTCTGAAGGAGACACTCAAATCAAACCCTACTTGTGTAATTTGTTATTATCCTACCATCAAGGCAAACTTATATTCAACAGACTTTATTTTAAGAGGCATTATAGTGTGAGCAACATTCATAGATGCTGCCAACAAGAGCACCCAGTGGTGGAATGTGCTTATCAAAGATCTGTGTTTTCTTAGAAAAAAGGGAGGAGGTAAATAAGAGGCTTTATTCTCACAGCCTTATTTACTGAGCAGTAGCAAACTGAACAGACAATATCTGCCATCTAGTTTAATCTAAGGGTACTCCAACCTCTTTCACAGGAATAAACTGCATGCATATACTAGAAAACAGTAACTGAGTAATTGCTTGTGTGTCGAAGGGAGTGTTCAAAAGCTCAAGAAACTGCACAGGGTCACTGAGGTTCTGTGGCTTATTCCTCTTGTCAGGGAGTCTCTTCAAGGCATTCTGTGGTTCGGTGTAGAAAGGAGGAGCAGAGGAAAGCTGTTCTTTGTAGCATTCTCCCTAAAGTAAATAGAGGTCTAATAACTTTGGTGCATTGGGCAGTCCTCTCATGGAAGCTCGGGATGGATAAGAGGTTATTGGAGAGCCAAGGCTTCCTGTCTCTTCCCAGAAAGAAAACAAGTGGAATAAATGCTAAGTATTGCCACAAAAATCATGCAAAACCCCTTCACATTAAGGCCAGTAGCTTACTTGGAGTTGCCACTTGCACAATGGTTAAAGGAACCAGAATTTTTGAAACTGTTGTTCAGATGTATAAGGTGATATGGCTGCAATTTTAACTCCAGTGGGAGTGAGAAGAAAACTGGATGCAGTTGTTATTTCAGGGGCACAGCAAAGTTATTTTAATAATTTCTATAAATATTCTTCAAGAAAGATGTAAAACAGTTTCCAAATTTTAAATGCTAATGTACAACCAGCTATGTCGCAAGACCATATATTTGAGATTCATGAGATTTCAAGTGTCCTAGAGCCATGAAGTTCACTTGGCAGCCCTGACAGAAAGTATTGTCACAGTACTGACCCTAGAAAATGTTGGCAGATCATGTTACTGTATAAGTGGAAATACTGGTCTGAATGAAATGTATCCCACCAAGTGATGTGCCTTTTGCTGCATGAACCTCCTGCATTTTTCAGTAGTCAGCACTGCACTGCCTCTGGAAATGACAGAGTGTAAAATGTCATGGATTATGATCACCAAATCCTTTGCCTTCATAGAACTTTATTCAGCTCTGTCACCTTTCTATAATAGAAACATGACATCTAAAATTAAAGCAGACATTTATATGTATGTTGGTACTTGTGTTTGCGTGTGCATACAGTGTGGCTAGTCAGAATGTGGATTTGTGCAAGCTCTGTTAGGAAAAGAAATTAATTATTAAATCAGTCATTTCTATGATGTAACATGATTTGTAAGTAGCCAGAAGGACAGTGGAAAGTCCTATCTTCCTGAAATCAGGTGGATTCGGTCAACAAGGACTATTTTATTTGCTCAAAGTTCCAAACATATTTTTTTTTACTACTTTTAAGCCCAAAGTTTTGTCTAACGATTATCTCACCAGAGCTCTGTGGTGAGCATTGTGTTTGCTATTTCAATTGCAACTTCTACCTCCTTGCTGGCCAATGTCCCGCCCTTTACATATATGCACCTCTACTACCTGTACTGTTTTCTTTTGCTCAGTTAGTGACCCTTGTTTTGAGTGGGGATACATAACTGTGTTTCTCTACGTCCTTCTAGTATTCCAGATACCTGATTCCCAAAAAAGGAGTTCAATTATTGCCTAAATTATCAGACATGCTTGAAATTTAGTGCAATACATATTAATATTGATATGTTCTTTTGAATTGCATATGTTAAAATGCATTTTGGTTGTACATGTGATTTGATTGCATTTTGCAATAAATTTTAAAAGCATTTTAACAAAAAGGTATGAAGAGCAATAATTGCATAAATAAAATAAAGTAATACACTAAGAATTGAATCATATGAGTGTGCTAACAATCTTCCAAAATTTTGATCTATTGCTGCCTAAGGTTCATATAGAAAACATCTACATAAGTCATCTGCATTCAAACAGGAGAATGTTTTTCATCTTTTGATTTCTTAAAGATGAGGAAGGTTTTAGTCTTGCTTCCTAAGAACATAAGGTTATAAGACCGTGGGTTGTGTATGTGCATATGTGTCTGCTCTCTCCTTCCCCTCCCTGTAATTTGAACCTGTTGGCTACTTTCAGACAAATTTGAGAAAGGGTCATAGGTCTCAATGGCATTAAGTTCCTGCAAGTTTTGTGATAATAGCTAGTTGGATAGGAATAAAAATAGCCCTTAAGCGCCCCAACTAGCAGAAAGGTTGCAGAGCCATTAGATACCAGTGTATCCACATAAAGGAGATTCCTTATTAATTCTGATCTCTGATTATAGTAAATACCATCCAATTTATGATTATGATTTATCATTTACCATATGAATTGCATAAACAGAGAGGAAATCGGGTTTACTTAGTTCTTGTACTCATAGGAGTAACTAATTAATTCTGTAGCCAAACTCCATTGTAGCAGATTGCATTCAGTCTAATGGAGAAATTGGCACTTCAGCATGTCACAGAGTGAAGATGCCCTGACAAGGAAGAAGAGAAAATCTTCCAAGAAGTACCCAGAATTGGCATTTGGGGAAAACTACAGGTTTGGCCTTCAATAACTTTCCAAGATAAAAGAGGCAGAAGCCACGTAAATTTTGTCAGCAAGTTTAAAGATTAAATCAGGTTTGGTGAAGCTGGGATTAGGGAGAAAGAATTTCCTACCATTTTACATATGTAGCTTGTTTGGTTGGGTAAGGGATTAGATCTAATTATATCTTTCTTTTGAGTGTGAAGAATGATAAAGTCAAATTTTATATTATTTAATTAAAATTGAGGTATCTTTCAAAAGACTTTGAAAATAGTACATTGATTTTCAGCTCTTATATATGTCACAAGTTAAAGTGAAATATGTTAAATTAAAGAAATTGGTTTACTTTACAAAATATTTTGGCTGGTTTTGAAGTTCAGAGTTGACAACAAAATTATGAGCTTAACAGTGAAAAAAAAAAAAGTCTTTTTAATATTTTGAGTTACATTTATTCTTCCCAACTGGAACAGCCCAGACTTCTGAACTTCAGGAAGTTTGAAACTTGCTTTCTAAGAAGCACACTGGATTCTTCTATGTTGTTCCTGATAGCTAACAGATAAGATTTGTTGTGCCAAATTCTCTTCTTGTGGGTGTAGATTGTTGGAATTTAGCAAGCAGCATCCTTGACAAGGCACTAGAAGGAACTGAAGTCTCTCACAATTGTATTGTTGAATAGAGTAAGTTTCTGTGAGTGAAGTAAAAGTAAGGGTATGTAAAAACTGTTGAATATATGTAAACGTTAAGACCAGCTCCCACCAGATGTCTTATACCAAATTGCTTCAATTAGTAATATAGCAGAATTACTGGTAAGAAAGGGTAAGCTGTTCCTTAACCTTAAACATCATGTCCATTAAGTACTTCAGGCATGTTGCTATATCACATTACAAATCTAAATAACAATGTCTGCTCTCAAAGGCAGGACCTCAATTCCTGGAAAGATAGAATTCATGTTTAAACAGTAGTATAATCTTTTGAGACTTCTGTTTCTCTAATACATATGTGTTAGAGAAAAAGATACATGGAACTGAAACCATATACTGTCCTAAAACATAGCTGAGTTTATACTAACACTGGTCTTGTTGCCAAGGTTAACTGCTCTACTGCATGTCTCCTGTTGCTTTTTCTAATTTTGTGGTTTTAAACTAGAATTTTACTACTTAATATCCTATTCACTAATGCTGTTGAGCCAGAACATTGTTAACTGGAACCACATTGCTTTAAATGGATTACCTAGTTATCATAACGAGATGGTTTTATACAAGCCTGCAAGGCACCTTATGTCATTCAAAAATGATGGATAGAATATTACAAAAAATGCATAGAGCCCCGTTAAAACAAAGCAAAACAAAAAACCCAACAACTTCTTAGTTAATCTCTAAAAACCAGATCTCAGCAATAGCAATGTGAAACTTCTGTTCCTGTTTAAAGCTAAAATTCCATACTGAGGTGAGGTTTGCAGTGGAAGAAAATACCTTCACTAGATCAGCACATAATTTTGAAAATAATTGGCAAGCTTTTGGGTAGTGAGCTGAGCTTTCAGGGTGTTATAATAATTCCAGCAATTGTGTGTAATGACATTAGTGATGTGATCTTTATAATAAGATTTTTTGATCCAAAGAGCTCAGCACCTGAATAGTCAACATCATGTTTAAGTAATAATTTTCTTGTATTTGAATGAAAGAACTTGGCTTTATTTGCATTTGAATAATCATTACTGGTGTTGTGCTCCATGATTTATGTCACTGTTAAAATGTACATTGCTAGATCAAGCCATTCTTGTAGAAGAGGAAGAAGAAGATATAAAGAGCTACCTAGTGTACAAAAAGCAAGAGGACTCTCATTTTGATGCCAAAGAGGGAACTGTGAGGAATGCTTCCATACAACATAAATGCGAACTGCATGAAGTCTGTATTAGGTGTTAAGGAATAAAAAGATGTAGGAGGAGAAATACAAGTGACTGCTTTAAGGAGACAAATGAGTTGCTTTTTTTTCAAGTGACCCAGTGGTCAAGTGACGAAAGAAGCATAGGGATACCACTAGAGTGCATTTTAGATGGTTATTGCATTGATAGCACTGCGTCTGTCAAGGCCCATGTGAGGGCAATCTGGGGATCAAATGGTTGGTACTCAATGAAGGCTGGAAGGGAAATGCTATTTAACATGAGTAAAGGTTTCAAGGTCAGACCATAAGTGTGCCAGTTAGGAAAAGGAAAGATTTTCTGCTTTGATGGTACTTAAATGAAGATTGGCTTATGTCCAGGAGGAACTACCCCTAAGAAAGGAAGAAACAGACCTATGAGATATGGGAAAAAAATGTTTTCACTGAAAAAAAGTGAGCAGAAAAAATGCAGTCCAGCAGAAAAATAAAATATAATAGAGCATTCAGCACAAAACTCATTGTAATTACAGTAAGGACAATTTTAGGGACCCTATAAGGCATCAAACATATGTAGTAAGTAGGAAAAGAAGTATTGTGCAGAGTCAGAAAAGCTATGTAAACTGAGTTGATAAAGAATGATCCAAAGGTCCAAAACTAGCTGATAAGTCGAGAAGGACAGAAAAAGAAGCAAGACCTTTGGATTTAGGCACAAGCCAATCATTAATTTTTTTAGAAGGTCAATGTGAGTAGAGTGACCTTAACAAAATAAACTGACAAGCATTTGAGCAGAACTAGCATAAACTTAGGGTGGTTTTTTTTTATTAAATACATAATAAAAGTTGGTAACTAGGAATTAAGTAGCATCAAGAAAATTCCTTTTTGAAACTAAAAAGAATATCTTCATATCCTTTTTGATACAAGAATAGTGTTTCAGGCAATTATGTTACAAATAAGTCCTAACAACCTAAGATGAGTGAGTTATGAAAAAGTTCTTCAGTCATATGAAACAGGGTGAAGCATGCTTAATATCATACCAACTAAAATAATTAACTTTGCTCTGAAAAGTAGGTAAATTTATGAAGAGAGAACTTGCACTGTTCCGTCTCTCCTGAGAAGGTGTAGTGTTTACCTGTGCCAAAAAAGCAAAGTGCTGAATAAATAGTAGAATAAAACTTGCTTATGTATATCTAAGGCATGTTAAAACTGTAGGTGATTTGCTTTATTCTAGGACTGTAGCTTTTGTTTTAATATACGTTAATACTAGTGAGGTTTCCCTTTTTCCTGCTGTAGGCATGCAAGCTGAGGTCGCTAGAAGTACGCACAATCTTCAGCATAGAAGTAGTGTTAAGTATGTTGTCTGTTCACAGCCATGCTCCACCGTACTGGCTCTGGATAATGAAGCATAGGCTGAAGGAGTATTGAACAAGGTTGAATAAGTGCTGGGTGCTGCATGGGTGATAAAGGCAGAAGCAAAATAGTAAGGTTGAAAGAAAGATGCAGATGTTTGCAACTTTACACAGAATAACTCAGGTGAAACTAATTTTTGCTTTTGTAAGGCAAAATCAAATTATTTAAAAGTGAAATTTTATGCAAAGTCAAGAAAATGCAGAATAACATGTCAGGCTAAGGGGGATCTAAATATGAGTAGAGCTGGTAGCAAACACATTTCTCATTATAAACTGCAGTTCTGTTGAAACAGTATTTTTGAACATACTTATGTTGATTTTATCATGGAGAGGTTTTGCAGGGGGAGAAAAGTGTAAATGCTAGGGTAAGCTAACCATTTTAGAATTTCATTTTAAGATGACTTTTCAGCATATCACAGTATGCATTTTTAAGAAACCAGAATTTGAAATTAAGCGTTTGGGGTATTATTGAAACACCTTTTCAATAACTAAAGAATTAAAATATTTTTAGGCAAATCACAAAATCTTTAGGTTGTAGTCTAAAAATCTGAAAACATATGAATTGGGATTTTTGGTAAAATTTAATTTATTTTGCCTACTACAGGTTTAATGAAGAACAGGCGTATTTGATGACTAAAAATAACTAAACGACGCACTTGAGTACACTTTTAAGAGAAGAATTTTAATCCTGACTGGAAATCTTCAAAGTCAGATTGCTGCTAAAGAGCCATCTGTAGACGCGAAATCCAGGTATGTCGAAAGAAGCCGTCAGACAGCTTTGCAGATTGCCTCATCCCGCCGGCCTGCGCCTCCCGGGGCCCAGCTCTGGG